TGATTTTCCTGAACACAGCAAGTTTAGTGCCTATCTTGCGTTCCAGGAGCGTGATGTGATCTCGGTACGTAAGATGCTCGTCGAACAGGAGGCCGAGGTATTTGATCGTGGCTGAAGGCGGTATGCTAGTGCTATCAATTGACAATTGGAGATTAGCTGGGACAGCCTTGGACTTTGGGCGGAATATGATGAACTGTGTCTTTTCCGCGTTGAGTTTAAGGCCGTGGTCCCGGAGGAAGTTGCGGATTGACAGAACGTCTCTGGCCAAGTCTGCAGTGAGCTTCTGTGGATCCCTTCCGGATTTGTAGACAGAAACATCGTCAGCAAACTGACGGACCTTGGTACTAGCAACACACTCTGGCAGTTTGCGGACAGCAATATTGAACAAGACAGGTCCAAGGATAGATCCTTGAGGTACACCTCTGGAGGCAGAATAACAGGCACCTCTGCTAGACTTGGTGACAACTCTCTGCTGGCGGTCAGTAAGGTATGATGCAAACCAACGCAGTGCAACCCCTCCCACACCAATCTCGAACAGTTCTTGGAGGAGCAAACTGTGGTTGACAGTGTCGAACGCTTTGGACATGTCGAGGAAAGCCGCAGCCACATACTCGTTCTGGTCTAGACTTTGACTCCAATCATTTGCCACCAGAGCGAGAAGATCGTCGCAGGAGTGGTTTTTGCGGTACGCAAACTGAACTGCAGGGAGGGATTCCATGTGACTGGCGCCATCCATGTATTGCGTAAGTTGCTCTAGCGCACACCTCTCGAGAAGTTTGGACATGAGAGGAAGGAGGGAGATGGGTCTGTAGTTGCGAGGGTCGGAAACGTCCCCACGTTTGTGGATCGGACGGACGTGTGCTAGCTTGTAGGGCGTTGGGAATTCACCAGTTTCAAGGGATATCGACAAGAGAGAGGCTAGCGTTGGTGCAATTTGGTCAGACACAAGTTTGTAGACGAGCGGGGGGATGGCGTCAGGACCGCTTGCTTTGCGACTGTCCATAGCACGGAGATGGAACTTAACGTCCCCCGCTGTGATTCGGGTAAAAGAAACTAGAGTGCCGTCTGACTGGGGGCCACACGGCAGAGCAGGCGGAATGTTGGATGGATGATCAGGCACGGATGCCAGCGTCAGGGCGTCAGAAGTCTCTGTTGGCGGCAAAGGCCCAACTATTTCTGAGAATATAGATGTCTTGAATGTCTGCAATACTAGCTCCAGGCTCACGGCTGACTTTCGTTCTGCCAAGTAGGCTGTTCATAGCGCTCCACTGACGTCTAGGGTTCCGTCTGTTGTTAATAAACTCGGCCTGAAAGTAATTGGCTTTCTTTCGGCGCATGGTGATTTTGCACTCTCGCCGAAGCGCTCGGAACGACTGGATTCGTTGCTGGTCACCCGGCTGTTTCAGCAGGAGAATACATGTATACTGCTTACAAGAATGACACTCATTTTTTCATAATCTTAACACATATTTTATGTGTATATTTATTCTTACAAGCAGTATTATCGCATAGTATAATATATCGGCCCTAAGAATGGATTTTGTGTAGCAAAATATGCCAGATTAGCGCAAAGTGTATCGCCTGTAGAGTGTAGTAATAACATCTGTGCTCTGTGCATACTCAATACAATAATTCAACACAAAAAGAGAGTTATGTCCAAGTGTAGTATCTCTAGCTCTATCAGTATCACTGAACAGTCATCACACAACCTCCTGGTATTACTAGCTACTTGTAGTTCACATGTACATGCTAAGTGCTTCTCCCAACAGCCACTTACTTTGAAGTAGGACTACTAGACAACCCTGCCTGCAGACCGGTACGGCCTGACCTATTGCATTCATGCTCATTACATTGATTCCTGTGTAGTCTGTTCCCCCTCACTGACCCTTTTGATCACTTGCGAGATGCCTTCCCGATTGTATGCATCCAACAGGTTACAGCTTTCTTCCCCGAACCCATGTTATTGATCAGCCCTAGCTCACACACATTCAAATGACTTTTCCTTAGATCTTCCAACAGTTGTCTTCCTAGTAATCTTTATGCCCCATTACCCTGCCTGCCATTCACATTAGTTTCCTCCATACTTTTAGATTGCATTCCTGTTGCATAAACCTTGCTCGCCACTTAGGTCCATTCATCCTCCCACACTGTTTCGAGTCCCGTTGTCCTCCTGCTTTCTTTTGCCCTCACTCCCAGCTGCTCTCTCTCCCTGGCCTATATAACCCGCTGATTCTTCTCAGTTCTTTGTGGAATTGATTTCGAGAGTAAAGAGTTGTGAAGCCTCAGAGCTTGCAAGTTCCTCCGGCTAGTGCTGTCAGCCTGTTACACTTTCTGTATAAGTCCAAAGTGCTTCAGACACGAACAGGTTGGCAGACACTACATTGGTGTCAGAAGTGATTCGTACCTTACGTGCTTTGTTATATTCTCTGTATTTCGTAGTCCCCGTCCTTTCCTTTGTTTCCTGACCTCTCATCCATTACGTAGTTCTCGAGTATCATTAGTATGGCTCAGCAACAACAACAACCCGCTCAGGCTGCCCCGGCTGCTCCTGCCCCGGCTGCTCCTGCTCCTCGTTTCTGAACCCATGACGACCTGAGAACGATGCAGAATCCCGGTTCGTCAGTCCATCCATACAGCAGATCGACGCTGTCACGTACGCATTTCGTCAAAATGGATCACCATCATTCTTCAGCGAGTTCCCATGCCCTCCGGTATGTCCCTGGACTACAGCCACCGGTATATGTACGACCCAAGCGACGTCGGCCCTTTCGTCTTCGCCCATATTGCCGATACTGCAAGCAGATTGGCCATGCCATTGCGTATTGCTATCGTCGTCGCGATACACGGCACATCTTCCCTTCAACCCAGGTATGTCACCATTCTTGCTCTATCCCTACTCAATCATCAACCCCGTCAAATGCAACTGTTACTAGTACACATGCTACCCCTATCGTGCAAGCTACGCCGCGTATCGTGCAAGCTCCCCCATCCAGCAGTAGTTTTCATTCTGTTCTTATGCTCCTGGCTGCCATATCCCTATCACTAACTCGTTCTGCTGCCAAAGTTGTTCCCCTGCTAACATCTCTCACCTTTAGTTTGTTGCCTACACTACACGTTATACACAAGGCCCTCCACGTTCCTTCAGCCACTCCATCCCACAGACAATCCCACTCCCAGTCCCCGTCACACCATTCGATCAACAGCCTAGGACTCACAACCCTCCATATACCTTCCTGTCCATCCAGATACATGCAGTACACAGTTCTAGATCGCCCAACATTCCGTCCCACTGACACTCCCCTACAACCGCTTTCTCCCCGGTCTGACCACAAAGTGTCCTAGCCTTTTCGTTACCCATCCCGATCATGTCCACCCCGTTCCGACCAAGCAATCAGTTTCAGACCCCAAATACAGTATATCCCGCAAGCACGCACTCCAATAACCAGTACAAGTAACAATGATTAAACCGCCACATGGTGAGCGAGTCCTTTTCGGTTGAACCGTCCCAGAGAGACGAGAGTCAAGAAGTATTACCGTCCACAATAAGAGTGACGCGATGGAACACGTCCCTTGTACCGTCCAATACATGTATTGAGACGCGAACACATACATGTACATTTTCCAGCTTCACAGAGAGGCAAATCCTTCACACATTTTAATTTACCTTTGTCTGTCTTTTCACGTACACCCGTCCCGTAGACACGAGGACGTGTCTCAACGGAGGAGGGGCGAGTGTAGTATCTCTAGCTCTATCAGTATCACTGAACAGTCATCACACAACCTCCTGGTATTACTAGCTACTTGTAGTTCACATGTACATGCTAAGTGCTTCTCCCAACAGCCACTTACTTTGAAGTAGGACTACTAGACAACCCTGCCTGCAGACCGGTACGGCCTGACCTATTGCATTCATGCTCATTACATTGATTCCTGTGTAGTCTGTTCCCCCTCACTGACCCTTTTGATCACTTGCGAGATGCCTTCCCGATTGTATGCATCCAACAGGTTACAGCTTTCTTCCCCGAACCCATGTTATTGATCAGCCCTAGCTCACACACATTCAAATGACTTTTCCTTAGATCTTCCAACAGTTGTCTTCCTAGTAATCTTTATGCCCCATTACCCTGCCTGCCATTCACATTAGTTTCCTCCATACTTTTAGATTGCATTCCTGTTGCATAAACCTTGCTCGCCACTTAGGTCCATTCATCCTCCCACACTGTTTCGAGTCCCGTTGTCCTCCTGCTTTCTTTTGCCCTCACTCCCAGCTGCTCTCTCTCCCTGGCCTATATAACCCGCTGATTCTTCTCAGTTCTTTGTGGAATTGATTTCGAGAGTAAAGAGTTGTGAAGCCTCAGAGCTTGCAAGTTCCTCCGGCTAGTGCTGTCAGCCTGTTACACTTTCTGTATAAGTCCAAAGTGCTTCAGACACGAACAGGTTGGCAGACACTACACAAGGGGGCATTGGAGAATCACTTTTTCTGTCCAGTCGGACTCTTTCTTTCGACTTCTCTCGTATCCGCTGCTCCGCGCAGTCGCCTAGCACGACCGCGAGTCTGATTGATCCGTGTGTACGTGTACGTGTCCACATGCCAAACGTGCGCGCATATGATAATGTCACACGTGATTTATCGTGTCAGAATCAAATGTCGTTTTTCAAACACCCACGCCGATACCTACTGTACAAACAACAGTAACTGTTACTGCATATTCAGACGGCAGATCTCCAGATCCTCCGCGATCCGCACGTGCACGATAGTCGATAGATCGGCATGCGCACATATACACACGTAGCTACATATGTACGTAGATCTACACGTGCCCACACGTGCACACCCATTGCCATATCCGGTCGATCACGCCAGGATTATGCTGACAACACTCAACAGCAGCTAGCTGGACTGGAGTCAGAGAAGCAGGGACTTTATCCTTGTCGGACTTGTCCAGCTAAATAACTAATGTTACTTCATTTCTTGCAGCTTGTTGCTGTTTCCCGATCTCGCTTCCATCCATAGGCATACCGGTAGTTACTTTCTGAGCTAGGCAAGTTGGGAGACCAGGTCACGCAGCAACATCACACCATGTGGAGTAACAAACCTTCACTGCATTTCTAAGAAAGAGGAGGATCGGAGGTAGGTGTCCTGCGTTGCATTTTGCACGTGCTGAGCGGCGATGGCCTCAAAGCCAGCTGCATCGCCGAAAGAGTTGTTCCTCAGCTATGGACGCGAGCGCGAGGTGCTAGAGTTTGTGAAGCGTCTCAAAGAGGACCTCGAGGCCGATGGCTTTGGCGTCTGGCTGGATCAAGACGATATACCTGCTGGCTGTGATTGGCACGCGGCAATAGGCAGTGGCTTGGAGCAGTGCAAAGCCCTTCTGGCGGTCGTCACGCCGAAATATGTCACATCTCGTTACTGCACCAGCGAACTCTATGTGGCCGACGGAGACCAGAAGTCGATCTTCCCGATCTTTTTCGCCGACACGGACCTCTCGTCGGGTGAGCGCGCCCGGGGTGTGAAGTATGTAATTTCAGGAATCAACTGGACCATGTTCAGGCCCAACGTGGACGACTATGACATGTCCTTGGAGAAACTCAAGTTCGGCCTCCGACAGCACGGTAAGCTGATGACGAGTGGTGACTGAATCCCTGTGAGGCGGTGGACTGTGATTATGGTCATGGTGCGGGGTTCAAGTTTTTGCAGCTACTGTTTGTATGCCATGTCAGCGATTCACACTCACAGGCACCACTTGAATGACAAGAATAGTCATGATGCCACCAACCGTGTTGGACTCGGAGGTGTAGTGAGCGCTTGATGAAGACTGGAACATCAAACTGTGCTCTTCGACATTTTCTTCTTTTCTGCTTGCTCAGCTGGCTGCGAGCCCCAAACGAAATAATTGTTATTTTTGATTGCGTGAACATAGTGATTTTACCGTACATCGAAAACATTTTGAAAACAACACGAGCACTTTTCCACATGTTCATGTGAAGTGGTTCGTTTCGCGTCAATCAAAGCAGTTTGAGCAGTGCTGCCTGCTGGACTACGATCAGCGATCTGGCCTGGTGTCCAGATGGTACTCGGGCGTTTCATCTGCTAGTCTCTAATTCCTGTACGTACCGTACTGACATGGGACGTCTTCTTTGCATGAAACAGTAAACCTTTTCAACTTTCTCAATTTAAATTATTTTCTAAAACTTCTATGCCTTGAAAATGTGTTATTTGGCAAGCCTGAAGGCCATTCATTTTGATACATGATGTGTGTGCCAGTATACTAGTAACATGGCATTGTATTAGATAAACCTTGTTTTGTTCAAACATGTTGTTGGTTGCCAGCATGTAACAAGGTGGAGTACACCGTGTTCGGAAACAGGTGACCTTTCTACAACCATCCACGGTTGGTAGAGCCCCGATCGGTTGCGACCATCTGAACCGTATGGGTGTTAGACCCGGTCCCCTAGCATAGAGAGGGCCAGAACCCGGTCTAACACCCATATGGTTCAGATGGTCGCAACCGACTCGGGCTCTACCAACCGTGGATGGTTGTAGAATGGTCACCTGTTTCCGAACACGGTGTCCTCCACCTTGTTGCCGTCATGCTGTCAACCAACAACATGTCATTGTACAGTACAGGCCATTCAGTGACTAACCTCATTGCCGTGCGGAAGCGAGACCCCCATACCGTGTGTAGAGACTCTGCAGTGCACGGCGTCATACGCGAAAAAAAAGTCGCCTGTACCCACACATGAGCCGCAGCGATTCGCACGAATATTGCCATCAACATCTGCGAATTTTCTTACTTTCTCAGCCAGTATGGTGTGTGCTCAAGATTGTCACACACCCTACATGTGTCAGTATGGTTCACCAAGAGAACGTAACTCCCAAGAGTGTCCAACTCCAGCCTGGTCTGCGACGGCAGAACTTCACATCGCGTGCCAAACGGTTGAAACCCGAACACGTTATTACTACTTATTAGCCCACTGTGCATGATTATATGTCATGACAGCTACAGTACAGGGTCGTACACAGCCAGCTTGCTTTGGGTTCGAATCCCTGCTGGTCATTTTGCACTGTGTTGCCAGCATAGCCTTTTGAACCATGTCACGTGATGTGAAGCTGTTTCCGTAGCAGCACTGTATAGAGGTTGTGCAGGCAGTTGCAAACTCTTTTCCAATTGGCGTTATGCACTTTTTGATGTCACCAATAGTGCGTAACTCCCAAATTGTTTAGAGTGTGCAACTTCCACATAGGGCCCTGACCCCGCGCCTCTTCAAGGCCGGGCCAATGTAGAACACCTTGCGACGCCCCTGGGTCACACGGACTCTAATCACAATCGGCTGGTACGATTATCTCTTGATTTAGCCAGAGGCATACTCTGGCATCACGTGACCTGGTTATGTCGGTTGTGCTGGCAAACAGTGCAAAGTGACCACCGGAGATTTGTGCCCTGAGCATGATTACCCAGACATATAGTCATGTAGTATGTACCAGTGCAGTATATGTACAACAAAAAATTAATATGATGTGTTGCAGGTACAATGTGCATCATGGACAGCAAGCGTTTTTTGCGTAACCTTGTCTCTCGGTGTGCGTGTATGTGTGTGGGTGCATGCGCGTGCACGTCCGTGTGTGTGTGTGTGTGTGTGTGTGTGTGTGTATGTGTGTGTATGTACGTGCACGTGTGTGTGTGTGCATGTGTATGTGTGTGTACGCGCGCGCGCGCGCGCGCGTGTGTGTGTGTGTGTGTGTGCGCAGATCTGGGCAGCACCGCAGTACTTGCCCCCGGCACTATGGCTAGCCCAGGGCATGCAGCAGCGGCGGCGCAAGGCACCACTGGTGCTGTAGCTAGTGCTGCTGCTGAGGCAGGTGCTGGAGATAGTCTGGCCTCTGCTGGTAAGTGCAGGCTGACGAAAGCGGTGTTCGATTGGTCCGGCCATACCCTAGCCTTTCATACTCTGTGTATGATATGGTGGGTATACAGAACCTCCTCAGCAGTAAATATACAGTAAACCTGTCAAGGTGACCACCTTGATAAGGCGACCACCTGTCCTAGAAGACCACTGAAACCAGGACCACAGGATGCTATTTCAAGTCAAATGACCCTGGATAAGGAGACCACCTGGTAGCAGAGACCGCATTTTTGAAGGTCCCTTGAGCGGTCGTCTTAGACAGGTTTCACTGTATGCTGGTGACGCACAAGTTGGTCTGGCGATGACCTGACCAACCGGACCGGTTCCGGGCCTGACCTGACGGGCCTTGGTTGTTGAACCGTGGCGTGAGTGTAGAATGGTGCAGTACAAGTCGCACTGCTTGTGATTGGGCTATGATAAAGGGACACTGGAGCCAGCACAGGATCACTGTCTAAATATGGATGGGAGTATAAGTTTGAAAGCTGTTGAATGGTGCTATTCAAGCAGAAGCTGCCTTTGGCTTCTCTATGCTGCGCTATGATCGGCTTTGTCGATGGGCTATTCAAGATACGGTAGACTGAGTCCTGTGTGCGTGTGCGCGCGCGTGTGTGTGTGTGTGTGTGTGTGTGTGTGTGTGTGTGTGTGTGTGTGTGTGTGTGTGTGCGTGCGTGTGCATGTGTGTGTGTGTGTGTGTGTGTGTGTGTGTGTGTGCATGTGTGTGTGTGCATGTGTGTGTGTGTGTGTGTGTGTGTGTGTGTGTGTGTGTGTGTGTGTGTGTGTGTGTGTATGTTTGCGTGCATCTGTCTGTGTCTGTGTCTGTGTCTACACTACGATGCGTGTGCAGTTGACCAGATGACGCTGTACTCAGCACCATTGACGCCACAGCCGACACCATCCAAGCCCACCGCCAGCGAGTCCCAGGTAATAACACTACACTTGCCTTGTGCCAGCGTCAGCGCTACATCCATGGATTCGGGAACAGCGTGGAACTATCACCTGTTTGTGACGAGTGACTGGCTTTCTGCCGACCATGGACT